TACTAGCTATCTCACCTGTTTACCCTTTTCTTAGATTTTTGGAAATATTTTCTGGCACTTTCTAATGATGTTTGTAATCTCTATAATTATAATTATGTCTATAATAATAACAGCACCAACACTGATAAAATTAGTAAAAAAAAAAAAAAAAAAAAAAAAAAAAAAAAAAAAAAGTCCCCCCCCCCCCCACAAACTCAAGGAAAGGTGAAATCATGAGGTCACAAAGTCTCTTAATTGACTCCTTGGTGGCTAAGCCCTTGTGGAGTCATCTATGCACATTTCACAGAATACTGAAGTAAACGCTACATTTTTCTGGGTACGTGTTATTAAAACCATCAACGGCTGGTGCTTATATTGCTAAAAAAGTAAAGGTCTCATATTGGAATTGTATTAAAAAAAAAAAAATTCAAGCAAAATATATAAAACACCTTAACTAATACCTAAAAATAGTAATCAGAAATTCTCCTGCACATAACAGCTTTCATGCTTTAATACTCTAAACTTTTGTTTTTTAACTTTCACACTTTAGACCTGGCAACACAACTGTACTGAGTTCAAAAGAAATGGTTGTCAACATCAACATCAGGACCTGACAGAGCACTTAAACCAATGCCGCCGGGGAAAATTAATTTTAAAGAAATGGAGGAAATGCTGAGCTCAATTTCTATATTTTTTTGTGAAATGTCTCTGCACATAGATGGCTCTTCTAGTGCTTTGCCACAAGTCAATTACTAGACCTTATGACCTTACCTGATTTGAATTAGTGGGAAACATTTTTTACTAGTGCTATGAATATCGATGGTGTTATTTTTACTATAAACATTATAATTATTATATTATTATAAACATTAGTAACAGCAAAATAAGACAACGTAAAGTATTTTCGTAAATCAAAGAAAAGGGTAAACAGGCGAGACAGGTAGTACTCGTAACTGGCTCATTGGTGACTTAGTACAAGTGTATCCATCTATGCGTTAAAACAATCAAACAAGTCCTCAATAGTGGGCATAACACTTACATACACGTCATGCCCGTCGGCATTGGGTTAAAGAAGAACACCCACAATTGAAATGCTTCAAATTTATACACTGGTAAAAAGTCATTACCAGAGCAAAAGCAGGAAGACACTAAAACAGAATAGAATAGAAATTTCTTTGACAAACTAAAGGCCTGCCTCCGAAGCATGGCTCCAGGATTTCCCTATAATTTCTCAGGCAAACTTTCCCATTTGACATCCTATACACCTCTCCTTGTTGTAAAACTGCTAGCTAGAACTCTTACATTGCAATAAACCATGTGCTCAACAGCTTGAGTGAAACAGGTAGTACCATGCCACTCTTATTTTCACTGGTTTTATTAAGTTTATGTTTGTACAGAGTACTTTAACAAAGCACCAGCAAATACAGTGTCCACTGTGCTTTTGTTTAATTATATTTACTTATACTTAGAAGTCATCACAAATGCTTAATCCCCAAGAAGGCAATTAATTATTAGAGCTACTTGATCTTACTGGTTTACCCCATTTCTTGAATTTTCAGGTTTAAAGTTTATATTTGTACTATTATTATTATCATTTCCAACATTTTCATCACCATTAGCCTTACTATAATTTTAACATTAACAACAGAGAAAGTACTGTAACTTAAAACAATTCTCTCCAATAATTCATGGACCAAGGTAAATAGGCAAGGTCATGTAGGCATGGTAACCAAGTCCTTACTGAACAAGTGCTTTTGTTACACTTTGTCATGCAAACAAAACCAAAGTGGCCAGTGTATGCACACATTCAAATCCCAGTGTCAAAAGGTTAAGCCCATATGCATTATCATTTGGTACATATACAGAGTTCTTTAGATAATATTAGCAAGAAATTCTCTCTCATTGCAAATAGAACCTTAGGCACCCTAATAGTCTTGTAATCTTCAGTGGTATGACCTGACCTAAATGGAATGACTTCCCTCTCATCCTTTTATGGGGAACTATGCAAAATGAGCAGGTTGCAAAAAGTGTCAAGCAAAGTATACAAGATGACCAAAAATCACTGCACAAAAGCCTAGTTCAAGGGCGCATGAAAATCCAACAGATAATTTGAAATCTGTAAAAAATACTTTGAACGAAACAATCTTCCTAAATTGAAATTTTCTCAGCAAACAAAACCCATTGACATCACATTAACATTCACTGTAGTTCCTCATTACCTATGCAAGAAGACTGTGGTTGATGTATTTGCAACAGAATGAATGGAAGTGCCATTTGGGCCTGAACTTGATATGATAGAACATAAATATTGAACAGAGGACTGTGAATAAAGAAGTTCAATTCAAATAGATGAGATATTCTCAGTGGAAGCAATATGTTGCAAGAACCAACCAGAATACAGTAACATCATAGGCTCCGAGTTGTGTTTGCTCTTGTTGATAACAGTCTTAGGAGATGCTAAGATTGTATGAGATGTCACAGTACCAGAGGGCAAAAAGAAAAGAAAATGTAGGCTTAAATTCCTATTAGCTGACAGTCATGAAGAAATCTAATGCTGATAGTATATGAATCCCAGTTCAAGATAAGTATTAGTAACTTACTAAGTTTTCCTTCTACAATATTCTCCATGCATTTATGGCAATCAGTTGATAAAATAAAGGAAGTAATGAGTTTTGAGGTGGATGTATGCATTGGAGCAGTCATGGCCACCTGAGTTACACTGCTAAACTCGTCAATTCTCATGAGGCAATTTATGGCATCCATTACAAGACAAAACATTTTCAGTATGTCTAATTCTGTTTTAAATATTCTGTATTTTATCACAGCTCACTAACTGAAGTGGCATTGAGCAAATAAAAATCAAGTTATCATGGTACAATCTATTACATCATATTATAGCCCTGGCACAAATCAAATGTACCCATGTAGTTAAGCACTGATAAATACTTCTGACCCTCTTAACCTTACCTTGCATTTAGATAAACAATTTGTTAACATTTTACTACTGAATAGTTTACTTAAGTTTACTGGTATATCTTTCTTCAAGTTTGCAAGTGACAAATTTTGTTACTGTTCTAAATAAAGTGTATAGACCTGTCTTACACTTCAGGTGAGTTGGACAAATACAGTGCATTGAAGACATTTCCTTGACCACTTACATACTAAACTTCAGAGTGAAAATTAGCTTTTCAGTTACAGTAAAATATCACAGGAGAGTGAAAAGTAAAATTGCCAGTAGCCAAAATATTAATTGGAAAGCAAAAATATCTAAAAAGAGAATATCTTCATTAATGCAACACATCAACCATAGTATGAATACATTAATCCATAGCAACAAAGCAGTGCATGTACAATATATATATATATATATATATATATATATATATATATATATATATATATATATATATATATATATATATATATATATATATATATATATATATATATATTTATTTTTTTCAATAAATCTAGTTTTTACATTGTGGGTTTTTCTCTCTCTCTATCTCTCTATCTATATATATATATCTATATATATATATATATATATATATATATATATATATATATATATATATATATATATATATATATATATGGTATAGCAAAAGAAGATTGCATAGCTACTTTAAACTCCAAATATCCTGTATCCACACTCAGGACAATTTCTGATTGAAGAAAATTGAACTGGTCTCATATTTCAGAAAATCTGTGGTAGTGACATGTTTATTGTACTTTTCATTTTATTTCACATTTTGCTGATAAATGCGAGATGTACAAAAGACAAATTTGTTTATGTTTAAACTAGCGTCAAATTTTGGGAGTCCTGAGACTACATAATAAAATCATTTTTCTAGAAATAACATACTGAACAAGGACTACATAACACACATTTTCATTCTTTCTTCCTCTACCTCAACCCAAAATGAACTAATCTATTCCAAAAAATTCAATCACGTAAGAATAATAAAGCCGTGAAGAGCTAGAAACATCCAACCCCTCAAATAAAAGCATCCTTTGCCACGCACTCCCTCACACAGGCATCAACAAAGGCAGATACTCACGTTCTTCTGCAGATCATCCCAGGTCTTGGTGACGAGGTTCTTGGGGCTGCCGTATTGGCCCATGGTCTCATCCATGTTCTTCTTGACTAGCTGCTCCACCTGTGGCCGCATGACAGCCACGGTAATGCCTGCGGCGATCTCACACAGCAGCACTACCACCATCAGCAAGGAGAACTGAAAGTGAAAAGTAATTTTTTATAAGAAATTAATATATTTACAATAAAATATATACAGTGCCAAAACCCCAATGGTGCTGGGTAATTGCACTGTCAATTATAGTTTTGATCTATGAAATATGTTTACACAGATCACTCACAAGCACTTAGTTACATAGGAGTCAATTAGTAGGCCTACCTCTCCTCTCCTGATATACCCAATTTCTAGACCAACTTTTTGGAAAACCAATTTCTTATTCTAATGCAGTTAATATCAATACTGTTCTTACTATTACTATCACTGGGATTATTATGTTATCATCAATGGTTATGCCAATAAGAATCTTTTTTTCTTTCCAAAATCAAGCAAAAGGTTAAAAAGGTGAGAACAGGAAGAACTAGTAACTGACTTTTGTATCTTTGTTAGCAAAATTAATAAACTAAAATATAGGGACATGACATTGTACGTCATGACAATGAACGTCATGCCAACCAAGTATCAGTGGGTTAACATTCCACCTACAGATACTGAATTCAAGAAATGACAGAATTTTAGTTAGGAAGTGAAACCCATACATTTGTTAGAAAACACTTGGAAGCATCTTGATCATTTTTTTTCGAAGGCATTTGAAGAAAATAATAACAACACTATTTAAAGAGCTGAATCTGCACAGTAATACACTCACTCATTCTATACTGAACACTAATGAGATAAACTAAAGATTTTAATTCACCTCCTTTTGATTACTGTGGCCATGTTTTGACTTCTATAACACAACACATTTAAATAAAAAGTTCTTTTCAAATAGTAAGATATGAATATATATTGACAAATACCTATGGAGGATGAATATACATTGATTAGTGAAATGTCTAAGAGGGATTATCCCCTTTTTGCTGGGATGGAATTACATATATGCCATGTCCACTGTGAATGTAGTTTACTTATTGTATACAAACAGATGATTCTACAAGTACTTAAAATCACCAGCCAGATGTCAATTCCTAGTCCAATTTACATCACATGTTTACTCTTTTGTTTTTGATCTTCATTTTGGTTAGTATTTCAATAATATTATTAGAATCATAATGACAGGAATATCAAAAACAGTATCAATTTTAGCAGCATTACAATGGAAAAAAATCCAAAAACTCAAGGAATGGGGAAATCCTTTGAGGTCACACTTGGCTACTTATTCACTCTTGGTGGCCTACTATTTTTGAGCCACCTGTTTGCAATAAAATTCACAAAAGAACTACAAATGGAGAGTACATGTACAGTCAGGCATACAAGGGGTTAATATTATAAACCCAAGTTACCTGCAAAAACTATAGAAGGTCAAAAGGAAAGATTTAAAAATATTTCATAATACTATTGAAACCATAGAACTAAATTATGGCCTTATAAACACTCAAAACTAACCGCAAAAGTCAATGAACATCAGCACCTTTTGGAACCCATGAACAGTATTTTGTTTATGGCAGTTTCTTTGCTCCTAGTATACAGACAAGTGTCACTGTCCTAAATTGCCTGTCTTTGAAGTGCTCATTGCAACAATTGTAGAAAAAAGTAAGAATGAGAATATTTTCACATCACAAAACATTTACCATTATCTTTATTATTACTACTATTATTATCATAAGGATCATTAAGATCATCAAGATCATTATCATCCATAACATTATTAATCAGTTCTGTATATATTTCTCATGCAATGTGTTCAAACTGGTTCATTGGAAGGCACAAATTATGCTCTTTAAGGATCATTGTCCTAACCAGCGACATCTATATTTTTTTGGTAATACAGCCAAAGTCCTTAAGCTTTGACCCCAACATTAAATAATAAAAAGTACACAACAGAGGCGAAAATCCTTACCGTACGCAGCATGCAGACATTCTCCTTCTTGGCTCCGCAGCATCCGAAGAAGGACACGATCAGGATGATGGTGCCCAAGATGATGATCCCAATGGCAGGAGTCTCGAACTTGCCATCAAAGAACTGCAGGTACGAGCTGAAGAAGACTTGGGCGACCACCCCTACGGCAATCAGGAAGATCCCGGACAACTGAAAGGCAAAGAAAACTGATAAGACAAATAGAAAGCAGCAGCATTTTGGTCTCTTGGGCCTCAGACCTTAATTCAGTGATTTTACAACTGAGATATATCCATATATCCATATATATATATATATATATATATATATATATATATATATATATATATATATATATATATATATGGATATATGGATATATGGATATATGGATATATGGATATATGGATATATGGATATATGGATATATGGATATATGGATATATGGATATATGGATATATGGATATATGGATATATGGATATATGGATACATGGATATATGGATACATGGATAGATATATAGATAGATAGATAAAGAAAGGAGAGAAAGAGAGAAGGAAGGGAGAGTAAGAGAGAAAGAAAGGAGAGAAAGAGAAAGAAAGAAAAAAAAGAAAATGAGAGAGAGAGAGAGGAGAGAAAGAAAGGAGAGAAAGAAAGGAGAAAGAAAGAAAAAAAAGAAAATAGAGAGAGAGAGAGAGAGAGAGAGAGAGAGAGAGAGAGAGAGAGAGAGAGAGAGAGAGAGAGAGAGAGAGAGAGAGAGAGAGAGAGAGAGAGAGAAAAACATTAAAATGAGGTTCATCCCTTTCTATATGTACCAACCAAGATTAGGCCACTAGCACTGAAGCCATATGTACTGACCTGAATGGTATGGTTTCAACTCACAGGAAGTAACAAAGAAAACCTTTGTCCCACACCCACACACATCTACATATAACCATATATAATAGTCTAAATATATTCATAACTATCTATACATTTATATATAATATATATATATATGATATATATATATATTCCATATATATCCATATAATATATATATATATGATATATATATATATAATATATATATCCATATATCCATATATATCCATATATATCCATAATATATATATATAATATCCATATATATCCAATATATATCCATATATCCATATATATCCATATATATATATATTATATATATATATGGATTATATATATATATTATCTATATATATATATCTATATATATCCATATTATATATATATGGATAATATATATATATATCCATATATATATATATATGGATATATGGATACATGGATATATGGATACATGGATATATGGATATATATCCATATAGATATATATATATATTATATATGGATATATATATATATCCATATATATCCATATATATCCATATATATATATCCAATATATATATATATCCAATATATATCCATATATATATAATATATGGATATATAATATATATATATATCTATCCATATATATATATCCATTATATATATATATCCATATATATCCATAATATATATATCCATATATATATGGATATATGGATATATATATTATATCCATATATATCCATATATATCCATATATCCATATATATAATATATGGATATATATATATGGATATATAATATATATGGATATATATCCATATATCCATATATATATATATATCTCCATATATATATATCCAATATATATCCATATATCCATATATATATGGATATATATCCATATATATCCAATATATATCCATATATATAATATATATGGATATATGGAATATGGATATATGGAATATGGATATATGGATACATGGATATATGGATATATGGAATATGGATATATGGAATATGGATATATGGATATATGGATATATATCCATATATATCCATATAGATATATATCCATATATCTATATATCCATATATATCCAATATATATATATATGGATATATATAATATATCCATATATATATGGATATTATATATATATATTATATGGATATATATCCATATATATAATATATGGATATATATCCATATATAGATATATATATCCATATATCTATATATCCATATATTATATATATATTATATTATATATATATATTATCTATATATATATATGGATATATGGATATATTATATATATATCCATATATATTCCATATATATATATAATGGATATATATATATATCCATATATATATATATGGATATATGGAATATGGATATATGGATACATGGATATATGGATATATATCCATATATCCATATATATATGGATATATATCCATATATATCCATAATATATATATATAATAATATATATATATCCAGATATATATATATATACTATATATATATATATATATCCTATATATATATATATGTGTATATATATATATATATATATATATATATATATATATATATATATATATATATATATATATATAAAACATGTCTTTATTTAATTTATCATGCTTAACGGTACTAAAAATACATGTCCCTGTTATCAGGAGTAATACACACACACTGCCGGCAAACACCACAACTGTTGACTAAGCTCAAACCTCTCAATCAGAGCAAAATAAAGTATGCTAGAATTTTACTTTAGATAGCAATCTACCACAATATATTTCAAATGCACAGATATTGAATGTACTTTATTTAGAATAGAAAACGTACGTAAAACATCTTAATGCGATCAGAGTTCAATTAGACTACATGCTTTGCTTTGCTTTTTTTAAAGGATTCTTTTAATTTCTTGTCACATCTATTTGCAAATCTTACTTTCATAATACCTTGAGGAGGGAGGGGAATGCAACTTGCACACTAGGATATGTTGCAGCCAAAATATATATTGCAGCCAAAGTAATCTACCGAGTTTATAGTACCCTTGGCAACACTCCTTTTTAAGACTACAACTCAACTGTCAGTGCTCTCATGGCAAACAAGAAGTTGAAGGCAAGTTTAATAATGATGATAATGGTAGAAAAACCCACAATGTAAAAACTAGATTTATTAAAAATGAGATAATGATCAATAATACTGACTGGTCAAAATATGAAGCCTACTGTTCCTGTCTTCCCTCTTTAACTAGGCTATCCCACTGCTCTCTCTCAACTCCCTCCTCTTTCCAAACTCTTTTACCTTCTTTTCCTTCTTTCATTCCCCCTTCTTTATCACTTCCTCCCATTCTACCTTCTTCCCTCTGTATGGTATGGCTGTGCCACAGATAGCAAGCTCAATTTCTTAATTTTTTCTTTCCCTCATTCTCTCTCTTCCCCCATCTCCCTCCTCCCTCTCATTCTCTCTCTTCCCCATCTCCCTCCTCCCTCTCATTCTCTCTCTTCCCCATCTCCCTCCTCCCTCTCATTCTCTCTCTTCCCCATCTCCCTCCTCCCTCTCATTCTCTCTCTTCCCATCTCCCTCCTCCCTCTCATTCTCTCTCTTCCCCATCTCCCTCCTCTTCTCATTCTCTCTCTTCCCCATCTCCCTCCTCTTCTCATTCTCTCTCTTCCCCATCTCCCTCCTCTTTCCTCATTCTCTCTCTTCCCCCATCTCCCTCCTCTTTCCTCATTCTCTCTCTTCCCCATCTCCCTCCTCTTCTCATTCTCTCTCTTCCCCATCTCCCTCCTCTTTCCTCATTCTCTCTCTTCCCCCATCTCCCTCCTCTTTCCTCATTCTCTCTCTTCCCCCATCTCCCTCCTCTTTCCTCATTCTCTCTCTTCCCCATCTCCCTCCTCTTTCCTCATTCTCTCTTCCCCATCTCCCTCCTCCTCCCATTCTCTCTCTTCCCCATCTCCCTCCTCCTCTCATTCTCTCTCTTCCCCATCTCCCTCCTCCTCTCATTCTCTCTCTTCCCCATCTCCCTCCTCCTCTCATTCTCTCTCTTCCCCATCTCCCTCCTCTTTCCTCATTCTCTCTCTTCCCCCATCTCCCTCCTCCTCCTCATTCTCTCTCTTCCCCATCTCCCTCCTCCTCTCATTCTCTCTCTTCCCCATCTCCCTCCTCCTCTCATTCTCTCTCTTCCCCATCTCCCTCCTCCTCTCATTCTCTCTCTTCCCCATCTCCCTCCTCTTCCTCATTCTCTCTCTTCCCCATCTCCCTCCTCTTTCCTCATTCTCTCTTCCCCCATCTCCCTCCTCTTTCCTCATTCTCTCTCTTCCCCATCTCCTCCTCTTTCCTCATTCTCTCTCTTCCCCCATCTCCCTCCTCTTTCCTCATTCTCTCTCTTCCCCCATCTCCCTCCTCTTTCCTCATTCTCTCTCTTCCCCATCTCCCTCCTCTTTCCTCATTCTCTCTCTTCCCCATCTCCCTCCTCTTCCTCATTCTCTCTCTTCCCCAATCCCCATCTCCCTCCTCTTTCCTCATTCTCTCTCTTCCCATCCCATCTCCCTCCTCTTTCCTCATTCTCTCTCTTCCCCCATCTCCCTCCTCTTTCCTCATTCTCTCTCTTCCCCCATCTCCCTCCTCTTTCCTCATTCTCTCTCTTCCCCCATCTCCCTCCTCTTTCCTCATTCTCTCTCTTCCCCATCTCCCTCCTCCTCCTCATTCTCTCTCTTCCCATCTCCCTCCTCCTCTCATTCTCTCTCTTCCCCATCTCCCTCCTCCTTCCTCATTCTCTCTCTTCCCCATCTCCCCTCCTCCTCTCTCATTCTCTCTCTTCCCCATCTCCCTCCTCTTTCCTCATTCTCTCTTCCCCCATCTCCCTCCTCTTTCCTCATTCTCTCTCTTCCCCCATCTCCCTCCTCTTTCCTCATTCTCTCTCTTCCCCCATCCCCCTCCTCTTTCCTCATTCTCTCTTCCCCATCTCCCTCCTCTTTCCTCATTCTCTCTTCCCCATCTCCCTCCTCTTTCCTCATTCTCTCTCTTCCCCATCTCCCTCCTCTTTCCTCATTCTCTCTCTTCCCCATCTCCCTCCTCTTTCCTCATTCTCTCTCTTCCCCCATCTCCCTCCTCTTTCCTCATTCTCTCTCTTCTCCCATCTCCCTCCTCTTTCCTCATTCTCTCTCTTCCCCCATCTCCCTCCTCTTTCCTCATTCTCTCTCTTCCCCCATCTCCCTCCTCTTTCCTCATTCTCTCTCTTCCCCCTTCTCCCTCCTCTTCCTCATTCTCTCTCTTCCCCCATCTCCCTCCTCTTTCCTCATTCTCTCTCTTCCCCCATCTCCCTCCTCTTTCCTCATTCTCTCTCTTCCCCCATCTCCCTCCTCTTTCCTCATTCTCTCTCTTCCCCCATCTCCCTCCTCTTTCCTCATTCTCTCTCTTCCCCATCTCCCTCCTCTTTCCTCATTCTCTCTCTTCCCCATCTCCCTCCTCTTTCCTCATTCTCTCTCTTCCCCATCTCCCTCCTCTTCCTCATTCTCTCTCTTCCCCATCTCCCTCCTCCTCTCATTCTCTCTCTTCCCCATCTCCCTCCTTCCTCTCATTCTCTCTCTTCCTCTCATTATCCTATGTCCCTATCTCCCTTCCTCTGTCCCTCTCCCTCTCTCAAACAGCTGTACAACCCTTCCCCCCAAAACAAACAAACAAACACACACACAAACACACAAACAAACAAACAAACAAACAAACACACTTTTGTTCACACACTTGCGAACAAAAGGCGTCCTCATTTTCCCCGTCAGACGCACACCTGCCGCCGATGCCCATTTCCACTGCGCAGGAGGTTGTATTCTTGGCAACGGGGAAGTTTGGGGTTTTAGGAAATGCAACAGGGATGGGGGAAGGGGGGGGGGGATGGTTGATTACTGGTTAAAATGGGGGGGGGGGAGAATTATGAGGGGTTTTAGGAAATGTAACAGGGAGGGGGTGGGGGGGAGGTTTGATTATGGGTTAAAAAGGGGGAAATGCGTTTTTTTTTTTTTTTTAGGAAATGTGGGAAAGGGAAGGAGGGGAGGGGGGGAGGGGGGGTTTGAGGGGGGGGGGGATTTGAGGTTTTAGGAAATGTAACACAGGGAGAGAGAGGTTTGTTCGTTATGTATGTCATTTTGGGCGTTGTGTGTGTCTGATTGTGGGTATTTTGTCGTAATTCGGGCGAAGGTTTGTAAATTTCAGGAAAAAGATTTGCCTGCCTGAGCCTCGTGGTTTAAGGGTCACGTTTAAATGCTGTTTGATGAATGAACTCGGGATATACTTACGAAGAAGATGAAGTTAAAGATGAAGACCAGGTACTTGATTGTGAGCGGGCCACATCCTAAATTACTTTCCGCCATTTTTTTTAGGAGTTAGTTTCGGCAAGCCTTTCCTCTTTCACACTCTGAGTTAAACTGCCTGTCAACCGGACAGTCTGCGCCGCATATTCGCACGTGGAAGTCGTCGTACCGTATGGATCTTTCGGAAGACTAATTTCATTCATAAAACATGCTACATATTTCTCTTGTTTAACAATTATAA